TAATATCTGTGGTCCTATCACCTACTGAACTAAAATTTCCTCTTCAAGCTGAGCAATTAACAAGAAATCCATTACCCTGGGTCAGGGATAGAAAACCTTTTCATTCTGCTTTTGAATTTCAATTTCCTCTCTCTTCATACCCTTACACACACACACACACACACACACACACACACACACACACGGCCCTTCTACAACATTGGAAGTGATATAATGAAGACTGAGCAAACACTGTTCTGTAATGTGCAACTCTTCAGTAATATGCAATTCCAAACTGGTGCCCCACCGGCCAATAGCCACCTCCCCCTTTTAGCATAATTTTGGTGGGATTATCTTCTGCTACTATAAGAAGCACTATGGAGGGGAACTGAAAAAGTTTTCAATTCGTAAGGAAACTTACGTATTTTTCAAATTTTACTTCATTTCTAAGATCCAAAATTACTCTTATGGATAAAATTTAGACACCCTCTGGTGGTCAGTAGAACACAATTAACTCTCGTAAACATTAATTTGAATTATCTAAGCTTGAAGGCCAATTTTACAGCTTATGACATAAATATTCTTTTTTTTCCCTAAATAGCTTCATGGTCTCAATCCTTAAATTCAGAGTAAATGCTGCCTCTGTTACAAAGCAAATGGCCTTGCCCAGTGAAAGTGCTATTTATGAATCATGAAATTCCATGCAAACATCAGGTAAGCCTCAGATAAAAGGGGGGGGCGTTCATCCAGATTAAGTGTTTAAGGAAAACATTATTAAAAACAGACCAGGGCTTCCCTGGTGGCGCAGTGGTTGAGAGTCCGCCTCAGGGGACACGGGTTCGTGCCCCGGTCCGGGGAAGATCCCACAAGCCGGAGCGGCTGGGCCCGTGAGCCATGGCCGCTGAGGCTGCGCGTCCGGAGCCTGTGCTCCGCAACGGGAGAGGCCACAACAGTGAGAGGCCTGCGTACCGCAAAAAAACAAAACAAAAAAACCCAGACCAAATCTACTCTAAATGAATCCACACTATGGAAATAAATACTTCAACTGGTAACATAAACATAGGAGAGAATGTCACATATTGTGAATTTTTTATTTTTTAAATTTTTTGGCCGTGGCTCATGGCACGCGGGATCTTAGTTCCCTGACCAAGGATGGAACCCGTACCCACTGTAGTGGAAGCTTGGAGTCTTGACCACCGGACCGCCAGGTTAGTCCCTATAGTGAATATTTTAAATAAATAATTTAAACCTTAATCAGTCTAACTGAGGAGGAATAGAAGAATTTTCTATCACAGCAGAAATACACTCTGATTTTTTCAACAGCAAACCTTCTGCACTATTTTGGGAACTGTGCTAATAGCACTGGTATTCCTGGTGCTTAAAGCTGTGTTGACATGATAAAGTGCTATAATTTTAACTTGTTATTGTGAGGCAGAAACTGCCTAATTAATTTCTGTTTCATTCAAAACTGAGGAACAAATCAATGTTTACCAATGGGAATGAAGCTAAATGAGTAACAAAAAGAAAACCCAAAACACTTGTGATGAGTCATTAGTTTAAAATGTAGAAAAAAATTTTCAAGGGTTGTCTAAGTTCTGTTTAGTCAACAAAACTTAAATAAAAATGAGAAACTGTTTTTAGTAGATTTGAAATGGATTGTTTGGTGCATCTTTTTAATTTTAATCTTGTTAAACCTGAAAAAAAGTTGCTCTCTATACAATAAATGTAACATCAGTAAAACAGTGCAGATGAAATCACAGTATCAGTGTTTTAATAAAATATAACTTCTTAGTCATACTAGGTATTTATGAAACTGTAACATAAGATGCTTAAATTCACTAGATATACCAACACTGAAATATATTGAATATGCAAATAAAAAAGTCTTCTTCTGTGTTATCCATAATCCAGTTGATTTATATGTTTTTAAAATGTCATAGAATGACAGCCAAACCTAAAAGTCCCATTCCTTTATTTTACAAATGAGGAAGATAAGAAAAGTATAACATAGGTCTGAAAATCGAACAACTATTTAGCAACAGAGCAGACAAATCTGGCCCTTCTAGATGCTTACATTTTAAGCACAAAATTAAATCTTTGAATGGAAACATAAATGTTTTGAAAAGTCCATTCATTTTTTGCCCTGTTAATAAACAGTCTAAGGCACCACCCATAATAATCACCCCCAAGTGGTTAACACCCTTCCTTACATTGAATCTGTAGCAGAAAGACTACTCCTTAATTTCCAGCTAAGTGAGAAAAGAAACACACTCTATTCCTCATTGGATAATACAATATTATAAAAATGAATACTATTTTCAAGACATAGCACTTTGATCAAGTATAGAAAGCATTTTGTTAGAGGATAAAACCATTAGGAAGTCAATTGAAAGAAAGACTTGTGGAAAGCTAGATGCTTAAAAAGGGAAACACGGCAACATTCAGCTGTATTGTTTTAAATAGTACAATATCCTAAAAACATCTTGGGGTGTGTGTGTGTGTGTGTGTGTGTGTGTGTGTGTTGGGTGTGGGGGTGATAAGACTTGTATGGAAAAGAGGAAGGGGAGGGGAAGATGGTCCCCACCTGAGCCCAAGCTGATACTGTCACTAGGATTCAGCTGTGATCAGCCATTAACTAGTGAGTGCAAAGGTGGTCCAGCCAAAGCTTGGCTGTACAATGGGAGGCTAAGTCTGAGCACAGGACTGTTAATTTCCCTCTGACTCACCCCTAGGATATCTCTCCAAAGCATAGAGAGAATTACCAACAAGCTGAGCTGTAGCATCAAAACCCTGATGCTCTGTTACCTCTCAAAGAGAACTTAACAAAGAGGGAGAAAAGCGTCTCTTAGCCTGATTGGGCACATGGTTGGGAGTTGAAGAGCACATGAAGAAAGATTCTTTTGGACAAAATTCAACTTCCCAAACTACAAGAAGACCCAAACATGTAAAATGGTTGAGGAAAAAACACCCCCCTTGCAACTCTGCTTCTAATACTAAACAGATTTTTCTTTTAAAATTCAAACCATGTACCCTGTATATAGGTGGGGGGTGGAGAGTGGGAGAGGTGGTCAGGGAGAACACCAGATGCCTAAGATTTTCCTATTAGTTTTGCCACTATATAGGTGTACACATCTGGGAAACTCTTTTGACCACTGCACCCTCAGATTCCTTACCTGTATATTGGGGGGTTTGGTCCCTTTCTGTTCAAAATTCCATGCTTCTATATGAAAGGGGAATTTTTTAAAAATTTAATTATAAAGGCAAAAACTTTCCTAGATTAAAAAGGATATCTGGAAGCTAACCTAAGGTCCCTGAATAGTCTATAATCCCCCTGAAATTGTGTGAAAAAAGTTTGGTGGCTGTATGTATGCACATAAACATTTTTCTAGGAAGAGAGACAGTATTTTCATTGACCCTCAAAGGAAAATTAGGTACCCAAAAATTTGGGGAACTCTGATTGAGAGAGTAAATGGTGTTTTTAGTTTTTGCTTTACCTAGTTGTGAGCAGATCAGCAGCAATCTTTACATGGTTCTAAAGTCTGTCCCACAAAGCCTTCTTGAGTGTCTCATTTATCTTCATGAGCTGTGTGTTTGTAATTTTTCACGAGCAGAAAGCCTGTTCAAAATCGAGTCCTTTTCATTAAAGATTTAAAATTCTGGGGATTTCAAGATTTATTCTGATATTAGTGGCTAAAGGAGAGCCCTTTTACTACATCAGAAAATTTCAGACATATAGCATCTTAAATATTTGCCCACTGATGTTGAATTATTTTACTATTTCTTTTTCTCTTGAGGTAACTGACGTGAAACAAAAGGCTGGTTCCTCCTTCCAACCTGCTTTTCTTTTTCTTCTGATCTTTGAGTCTGCTGTGAAAGGATGATGAATTAACTGTGGTTCTATTTGAAGTAGTAATTTTCGTTTTTATAACGATTTTGATCCTCAAGATGAATTAAATATAAGATATTGATATAATATTCTTAAAAGAATTAGTTGAAAAGTAGAGAGAAGAGGAAAATGACATTAGGGAACCTGAGGAACTGAAAGAGGAAAGATGCAGCCAGGAAGAAATGGGAACCAAAGAGAAAATCTACATGATTAGATGCTGAAATAGTATCAAATCCCTAAGCAGAGAAACAAGAAAAAAGGAGGGTTAAAAACAAAAACAAAAGCAAAACAAAACCCCCCAGGAAACAATCATAGCAACTAGGGAATACTGAATTTTTGAATACATTCAATGAAAACGACAAAAACCATCATAACCGAGCTTTTCAGTAACATCTTTTGCCTGATAATCTCAAGGCTTTATATGGCTTCTCCTTTAATTAAGGCAAGGACAGAGGCGATCAGAGAACATCACAGAAAGAGGGATGCTGCCAGTGATTAACAGATAAATGCAAAAAGCTCAAGGGAACAATCTTTTGTGGTAAAGAAGTGCCAATCCGCGAGAAATGTTGATTTTTCCCTGAGGCAACATCAAAGAGGTGTAAAGTAAAAAGAAGGAAATTAGGTTTAAGCACTTAAAACAAATGATTTTAGGTATTCTCAGATGCTTTTTAACCGACGACAGTCTGACCAGAACTACTCTTAGTGACTCTTAAGTCCAAATGGAGAGGAAAGCAACATTCAGTGCTTCTGTTCGACTCTAGGCTCCCTTCCCGGAGTCCTATAGCTTCACGTCAAGGGCTCCAGACTCTCCGTTAACCCCGGAGGCGCCGGGGGAGAGATATATCCTCAAACGAACCCGATCCCCAGATGACCCTGGCTGGGTCCTTGTGTTCACGGAGCATCCTCCAGTGACTCTCCTTTCGAGTAACAGCTCCTCTCTGCGCCTCCACAAATCCCATTCAAGAAAAAACCGGGGACTTCGGCTAAAACGCACACCGCCCCGCCCCTCCCTGGCTCCAGGAGGCCGCCTCCCGGGCGGCCCAGGCGGCCCCCAGCACGGGGCAGGAGGGGCGCGCGCCCCCGGCGCCCGCGCGCGCCCGTTGCCATGGGAACGCACGGGGCTACGCCGCCCTAGGGGGAGACGGGAGGAGGCGCGGCGGCAGATCCTGTGGGAGACGCTATCGCAAGATGGCGTCTGCGAGGCCGCGGGATGCAGAGTAAGCGCGCCCCGCCGGGCGCTCTGCGAGACTGCTCCTCTCCCCGCCGCCGCCGCCGCCGCCACTGCGGCGCCGCCTCTCCTCCTGCCATTACGCCGCGGCCAAGCTTCCCCGCCTCGCAGGTACCGGCGCCCGCGCGCGCTCCGCGTAGTGCACAGATGGCAGCGACAAGTGCCGGCTCGCCGAGGGCTAGCGGGTCCCCCCTTGTCCGGGTGCGCCTGACAATAACGCGTAAATAACTTTTTCTTGCAGCGGTGCCCTGCCTCCCGGCCTGCAGCCTCCTCGCGCGCCAGCGCCCCCACCACGCCCCTCCGACTCCCCGCTCCCTCCGAGGTGTGAGCGCATCGGGCCGATGCGGTGATCTCCGGCCGGCCTGGGAGGAGCGCGTGGACCGGCGGGCGGCGGCGAGCAGTTGCCAAGCGCCTTTACAATGGCCCTGACCCTGTTTGGTAAGTGCAGCCCTTTGGCCGCGCCGCCGCAGGTGGGCCGCGCCGCGGGGCTCGAGGGCGGGGGCCGGGGCACCTGGGGAGGGGACGCCGCAGGCGGTGTCGGGCGCGGGCCGGGGCCGCGGACTTGGGCCGCTCGGGGCGCCGGGCTCGCTCCCTCGCGCCTCTCCCATTGTTTCCTCTCCAGGCAGGGCCGATGGGCGTGTGCTCCCCTTGCCAATTCTGGGCAGGGAGGCTCTGAGGTCCTGGGTGTTTTGTAAACGGAAGATTCTCTAAGATGCCAACTTGGGAGCGAAGTTAGCTGGTTGTTTCCAAACCTATGTTTCTCAAGTCTGTAAATAAAGGTCCTGGAAAGTTTATTCATTTTGAACAAGATGTCTGTGCATCCCAACCTCCCTGGAATTGTCAAATGCCTGTTGGATTTTGGGGGAATTTTTTGGACTCGGTATGTTCCTTTGGAAACAAGAATGAGTGGTGAATTTATTTTAATATTTGCTAAAATTGAAAATGTTGCTCTAACAAATAGAGTAGACAGAAGAAAGTTGGTACTGAAGATAAGTAGTCTCAGGTGAATAAGTAGTCTCAGGTGAATATCTTTGAGTATTTTACGAAAGTGTTATTTCTGTGGTGTAATTACTGTAACATTATTTCAGTGATTAAGACTTAAAGGTTTTTTTGTTTTGTTTTGTTTTTCCCCAGAGTCTGTAATGACAATGGGTTGGAAAGAAGGACTGAAAAAATTATTTTCTTTTACAGAAACAAACTGTGGTACTTACGTACTTTGCTTTAAGAAAACTCAATATGTGAAAATTTAGATGATCAAAGAATTCAGTTTTTCAAAGGAGGAAAGTCCAATGATATGTACCTGATAGCTACAAGGACAGTCTTAGTGAGTTACTCACAATATCAAGTTTCCAGTTATATTTTAATAATGTCATTTGATCAAGCACTTTACAGGCATCACATACCACAATGCTTTTTGATGTAAATACTTCAGAGTGAATTAATCTGCTGAAATTAAAGAATTACTTTTAGTTAACAATCTTATTTTTCAAATTAAATTTAGACCCAGAGAGGTTATTTCCCAAGGTCACATGGCCCTTTTGTGGCAAAACTGAGCCTAGGACATAGTCTGTCAGTCTTCAGTCTGGGACTATGCTTACTTGGCCCAAATACCCACAGTACTAGAAATGACATTTCTTATTTGGTGGTTCTCCATGAGTGTTTTAAAAATGTTTCTTCTTTCTCTGAAAGAAATAATAAAAATCTCTTGTTTTTCAATACCTTGTATCAAATATGCATTACTTAGTAGAAGCATTTCCTTACGTGTGGACTTTTTTGGTATAGAAGTTAAAAATGATGGCTTTACTAGTAGTTGATATTTTCTTTTGAAGAAGCATTTATCTTACATTGTTGTAGCTAATACATAGTAGTAAAATCTACTGCAGTAAATTCTCTTTAAAACTGTTTTTGACTTTCTTTCCTAAAGAGAGTCTGCATTTTCAAGGTTTGTTTTCAAAGATAAGATTTACGAATCAACGACTTTTAAAAGACTGACATTCTCGATGAATAAAACAGATAAATTGGGGAGACATGGAGTATGTGATGAGGCTCTTTTAAATGGATTCCTAAATTATTAAATCTTTAACTACTGAGGTAGAGGTGAGGAATGGAAGAGCATGGAATTTGACCTCTAGAAGAAGGTATAAGAAACCACTCCCACCCCTCAGGATGAATAAAATATCTTTAAAATTTTAAAGTCATCTTGTGGGAATATAGAATTTAGTTTGCAAAATCCAATTTGGTTACAATTTTTAAGAACATTCCTCTGTTGTAAAGCAAAGTATATCTGTGTGCAGAGGCTATTTTCTCAGTAATGATAGAGCAGCAGTTGATCTCAAAAGAGTGTGGCTGCACACCACTCATCAGTCATCTGAGATGTCGGTTAAAAATGTAGATTCCTTTGCCCATAGACCCACGGAATCTGCATTTTTATTTTTATTATTTTTATTCATTTTTTATTTATTATAACATCTTTATTGGAATATAATTGCTTTACAATGGTATATTAGTTTCTACTGTATAACAAAGTGAATCAGCTATACATATACATATATCCCCATATCTCTTCCCTCTTGTGTCTCCCTCCCTCCCTCCCTCACTGTCCCACCCCTCTAGGTGGTCACAAGACACTGAGCTAATCTCCCTGTGCTATGCAGCTATGTATATATGTCCATCCCACTCTCTCACTTCGTCCCAGCTTACCCTTCCCCCCCCCACCGTGTCCTCAAGTCCATTCTGTACGTCTGCGTCTTTATTCCTGTCCTGCCCCTAGGTTCTTCATAACTTTTTTTTTTTAGATTCCATATATATATGTTAGCATACGGTATTTGTTTTTCTCTGACTTACTTCACTCTGTATGACAGACACTAGGTCCATCCACCTCCCTACAAATAATTCAATTTCGTTTCTTTTTATGGCTGAGTAATATTCTGTTGTATATATGTGCCACATCTTTATCCATTCATCTGTTGGTGGACACTTACGTTGCTTCCATGTCCTGGCTATTGTAAATAGAGCAGCAATGAACATCTCTGTGTCATTCCAATTTTAGTATATGTGCTGCTGAAGTGAGCACGAATCTGCATTTTTAGAGGAAGGGGATTTTAAAGGAACTCCTCTGTGATTCTAAGGCCCATTCAAGTTTAAGGACTATTATATTAATGATAAATACTAGATTTGCTCAAACTTGCCCAGTTCAAAATAGCTTTTTGAATATGTTAAGAGCAGTCCCCAAGGACTGCTAGAAGAAATAGATTTTATTTTAGATATTACTATTTAACTAATTGGTCTTAGTCAGAAGTACCTCATATCCCTTCTTAATAACCAACCTAGAACCGAGGAACAATGAAATAAAGTTGTAAGAGCTGGTGAAGAGAAGGTAGGAACAAGAAACTAGACAGGTGTGACTTTTCAGCCATCAAGGTCAGAGCTCCATAGAGTTTCTACCTAAGCCTCCCCAAAGTAACCACTGCCAGAGCTGAGGAAAAAGCATCCTGTCGGGTCATCCCTTGGCAGGAGTTTCTGTCATTTATAGCTAAACAGAGCTCTGGTTTATAGCCCAGCCAACTGATGAGATTGGGAACTCAGTTGCACTTCAGCTAGGCTGGCTAAACCTGAATAACTCTCTTCTCCACCTGGGTAGAATTGCCTCTGACATTGCCCCTGCTCCCTGCCTTTTTTTCTTCTTACCATTTATTTACCGTCATCACTGCCATAGATCACTTCTAATATTTAGGATTACACTGTAATTTCTTACATTCTTTCCTCACACTTTTCTACTGCCATGGAAACCTTTCATTATGCTGCTCTTTTTGGCATCTTTCACTATCCTGACACACCTGCCTATGGGCATCTTGGCAGAGATCCTTTGGAGCAGTTAAATGGGAATGGAGTATTCTTTGTGGTACAGTTAGGAAATGTTCTGATTTCCATTACTGTCCTGGCATTAAAATGTATTTTTAAAAAGACAGCTGTATATTTTCAGTATGATTTATTTGACAAAAAGCTAATTTTATAGGGAACTCCCACTTGAATACACTCTCTGCTGAAATTTTAATTTTTCAGACGTTGCTCATCAAGGAATATGAGAGGGAGTTACCTAAGCAGCAGGGTGCTCCGATGGTGAGAGCCCAGCTACTTTTTTTTAGAATGTTTCATCTTTTCAGCTGTCATTAAAATCACCATCCTTATTTAAGTACTTGTGCATATTCCTTCTTTAACTGGTGTCAAAAAGTTAACATCTCAGCTTAAATTTTTTTTCTTTTAGTGTTTGCAGACTTGGCACTATGTAAGAGAGATAAAAGAATTATAGTTGTTATACCTCTGATAGTCACCATCTGTGTACAGTGTAAGAGGAATGTTGGTTATGCAGTCTTTTGAGGCACATCTGCCCCTGCAAATAACCATCCTACAAGCATTCTGATCTTTGAAGATAGGAGATAGTGATATGTGTAATTACAAACATTTGACACAGTTGTCAAGAAGAGTTTCAGTTTCTTTTAGATCAGTGTTTTTCAACCTTTTTTTAAAATCACCCTCTGTAAGAAGCCTTTTAGACATTTTTTCTTAATTGTTCTCTCCATGAGACTCTGTTTATGGACTGTATGTTTGTCTGCTTTATGCATAAAAAGAGTCAAGTTTTTTGACTCCCAGAAGCTAAGTTTTGCTCCCTTGAGGGCAGTCTTACCCCCATTGAGAATACATGTTTTAGACTAATCTAAAGCAATCATAAGATAGTTAGGCAGAAAAATACTGTTTGGTTGTGCTTTATATGTCATATAATAATAGTTCTGAAGGAATGACTTAAGGACAGTAAGCTATATGTTTTTCACCAGATTGATTTAACTTCAGTATTAGCAGTTTGGTCCATCTTTTTTTTTTTTTTTTTTTTTTTTTTGCGGTACACGGCCTCTCACTGTTGTGGCCTCTCCCGTTGCGGAGCACAGGCTCCGGACACACAGTCTCCGGACGCACAGGCTCAGTGGCCATGGCTCACGGGCCCAGCCGCTCCGTGGCATGTGGGATCTTCCCGGACCCGGGCACGAACCCATGTCCCCTGCATCGGCAGGCGGACTCTCAACCACTGCGCCACCATGGAAGCCCAGTTTGGTTCATCTTGAGAGCAGCCGTGACACAGAGTTCCTTGCTGAGGCTGGGGTTTGTGTGCAGCTTTTCTCAAAAGTCCCTCTAGTAATGATAATATCCTTTGATATGGGTAATTGATGTTTTCTCAATCTTATAAAGTATCAGTAACAGCACCTTTAAAGAACTTTTTATCTGCAATATATAATCTAAAAGAAGTCAGTGAACTTGCTTTGCAAACCCGATGAAAGACAAATTCTCGAGTCTGGCCTTAACAACCAATTACCGGTCATAAGTCATTCTTACATAGAAAATGATTCCCATAAACTTTGATTTTTTTATTAATATCCTACTGTACT